CAGTGTTCACATCCCCAATCTCAGCTTCAATGTTTTTCCTTGCATTCTCAACGGCTTCATCACATAATTGTCTAGCAACACTGTTATCTTGGCTAGAAACAATAAGCCTTTGAAATTTCCTACTAATCTCAACAGCCCAAATTGAAGAAGGGACACCACCATTATAAAACACAGATGCAATGTCCACGTTTGTACGCTCAACAGCCTTTTTAGTCCATCTTTTTAGAATGTATTTATCGGGAATACTGGAAACACAGTGCACATGAAGTATACGTAAGCAGTGGCAGCAAAGTATTCCCAATTCTGAAAACAGCTTGCAACTACAACATATATCCAAATTGATTGCCTTAAAGGTTACTTCATGCCTTATGATATCTATGTCTGGTCGCCACACGTGATACTTGCACATACAACCATCGTTCAACACCATTTCTTGATAACAAGAGCTACCTTTCATAAATTGTTCCTCGAACAAAAAATATATCTCAATTGTATAAACCTCTCTAGCATGTGAAAGGAGTTTCACATGATCCAACATCATGGCGGGTACTCCTTGAGAACACCGGAAATCCTCGCCATTTTCCTTACTTCTCCATTCAGATATAACACTCACAAATGATGAATAAAAATCACATAAACCAGCAGTCTTGGACAGCCTCCTAGAAATTGCATGATTTGTGCTTTCACTCCTTTGCGAAGATAAAATACCCCCGGAGAAATAATCCTTGTTGAACGCTGGACACCACTTCTCCCTACAGTCATAAAGCTTCTCTAGCCATGTATTCTTATGACAATTATATTTTGTAACCATCCTGAAAAGGTTAAAACACATGTTTATTACTCATATTCTGAAAATTCATAATCTCATATTACAAAGTTCATAATCATGTAACAGAAAATACATAATGACATAACAGAAAATACATAATTGAATACTGTGAATTCATAATCTCATATTACAAAGTTCATAAATCATATAACAGAAAATACATAATGACATAACAGAAAATACATAATGACATAACACAGGAAATCCAGAATTGTATAACTGTGAATTCATAATCTCATATTAGAAAATTCATAAATCATATAACAGAAAATACATAATGACATAACAGAAAATCCATAATGACATGACAGAAAATTCAGAATTATATAATGTAAATTCATAATAACATACCTTGTCCAGTAAACCTCAAATTCAGCTTCAGTCTCGGTGTATTTCAACACACAATTAAACATATCCAGAAAATCCTTATGATTCCTCAATGCCTTAATATGCTTCTTCGAATTCTCACCAATATGCCATATGCAAAGACGATGGCGTGATGTAGGAAACACCATGGAAATGCCAGCAGCCATAGCTGAACATTGATCCGTCATGATAGTCTGTGGACACTTGCCATCCATGGATCTTAAAAACGCTCTAAACAACCACGCAAATGACTCTATCCTCTCATTCATCAAAAAACCACAACCAAACATTACATTCATGCAATGATGGTTCATCCCTACAAAAGGACCACAAATCATATCATATTTGTTAGTGCGGTATGTTGTATCATGCACTAACAGATCACCAAACACCTCATAATCCCTTCTCATTTGACCATCCCTCCAAAAAAAACTACACAATCTTCCATCCAAATCAACTTCGAAATCAAAAAAGAAATCAGCCTCATTAGATTGCCTCCTCCTGAATATCTCAACCAAAGAATTTGAATCCGATCCATCCAAACACTTCAAACTCACAAAAGCCATCGAATTGTAAGCATCGCGGTTGGTAAAGCCAACCAATGGAGAGCCCCCTGACTGATGTTTCAAAAACCTCATACCATCCGCCAATGCAACACCACTACTCTTCATGTCTTTTAAATATTCAAGCTGATTGTTTCCCACTCTTCTATGCGACCGAAGCAGATGACTCTTGCCAAATGAACATAACTCGTGATTGTGCTCTTTCAAGTGTTTTGTAACTGTCCACATCCCATCACCCCCCACATCAAACTGAACAAATGCACCACATCCAGTCCTCATATCAATCTTTGAATAAAGCTTAACACCACTGTTTGGTTTCTGCTTATACCCAGCCTTAGCACAGAAGAACCTCTTCATCTGAATTGACTTAGTAGATGCCTTATAACGTTGTTGGCCTTTCCTCACACTAAAACCAACTCTGTATGCATATCCATTATATAACTCAAAAGCTTCGTCAACATTTCTTACTACAACACCCACCAAGTCTTCATCAACTGCAATTGCAACAAAAATATAACCACACCTATACCAACTACTAAACTATGAATGTGGATTTCACCTATAATGAATGTAATATGCTACACTATAGAATTCATAATCTCATGTGAGAACATTCATAATCACAAAGAATAAAATTCATAACATCATATAAGAAAGTTCATAACAAAAACCGGATATCAATAACATTTGTGACATTATGAGCATTCAAAGTTGCATAGATACTCATGGCATTAAATGCATAACCTCATAACATAAAATTCATAACCTCATATGGAAAATTCATAATAACATAACGGAAAATTCATAACCTCAAACTGTAAATTCATAACGTGAACAGATTATTAATACCAATCACAACATTCAATTTGCATATAATCACCATGAATCAGTACCTACACCTACAAGAAACAACATTCATGATACACCAACTAATAAAAAGAACCTGGACTTGAAGACGAGCCATCAATGTCAATGTTTAACTCTGCTTGATCATTGCTTATTGAATCACCAACACAATCTTCATTCACTGAGTATATGCAAGCAGTGTAACACACCAGTTAATATGTTATGGACATATTACTATTACATTATGAATATTCATATCACATGCATGAACAGAGTATCAAAATTCATAACTCTGTAACAGAAAATACATAATTGCATTTTGTAAAATTCATAACAGAAACATGGAACTAATACACATTTACGGCCATTATGAACATTCAAACTGCATAGATACTGAACAAATATCAATAAAAATAACTAAATCTTCAACAATCCATGATCTCATAAATCAAACGAAATCAAACGCATAAAATCAAACGCAACCTGGAATCGCAGAAATCATATCGGTTGAATCTTCTCCTCGAACCATCGTCTCCTCCATCACGAATAGGAAAGAATCGCGAATGTCGGATCACAATTGCCTTCAGCGATTTGCGAATAGGAAATAATCAAACGCAAAGAGTTGTCTGATCATAACTGCCTTCCTAACGCCGTTAATAGAACAGTGTTTTTTTTTTTTTTTTTTAAACGACGCCAAAAACGACGTCGTTTGGAAGCGTGTTCACCAAGCATGGTGAGCACGTTTCCACGGCATAATTTGCGGAACTTTCATCAATAAGATTCGAAGCCCCACATTTATGTCATTTTTTAGAATAGAGTGAACCCAGAATTAAAAACTAAAGTTGAACTCTACTTTCATATTAGTTACACTTTATTACAACATTATTAGGTATATTTTATTATAACATTATTAAGTATACTTTATATTATTGCTATGTGCATTTTATAGAGTTACTACACACTTTAAATCATAACTATGACTACTAAACTATTAAACTCAAAGTGAATTTCTAAATCAAAATTTAAAAAAAAAAAAAACCCCTAAATTAAACAAAATAAATAAATTAAATCATAAACTCTTAAACATGGTCGAGTGACATAAGTGCGACTCTCTCAAATAGGAAGTCACATGTTCAAACCCAAGTGGAGGTATTGACTCTTTGTGTTTCAATGGGTCCCGAAAATTTTCTAGCACAGTTTTTCATTTTAAAAACAGGAACACTCTTAAAAACAATTTTCTAAATGAAAAACAGAATAATCTATCATCTATTTGGTTATATGTCACTATAACCACATTACTATGATTATATTTATTATCATCTTCTTTTAATTGTCACAATCTTCTATCTTTTCTACTTACTTTATTTATTTAAACATAACTTATTTGCTTACACTTTAAAGTTAGGCATTACTTATATTATCAAAATTAAGAATTGAACTCTATAAAATGTTTTAGATTTTGATAGAACTCAATAGATTATTAGTTAAGATATTTTTAATTATGTTATATCGTAATACAAATTCGGTCCAGATATGAGATATTAAAATCTCACATATATTAGAATTCAAAGTAAAAATTATATATTCATATACATGTCATTCAAATGAATATATCCAAAAAATATTTTAAATGTTAGCTCAAAAAAATATTAATATTATCTAAACTAAATTTTAAGTGAACTAAGTATAGGTTAGGGTTACTCCCCCATATGGGAGGTTGTGGGATCGAGCATCAGTGGAGGCGATATTGACTCTTTGTGCTTTAATAAGTTGAGAAAGTCGTTATGATATTGACTCTTTGTGCTTTAATAAGTTGAGAAAATAGTTATGAACAGATACTGCATTGTAATAGAGTCAGTAGTATTAAAAAAAAAAAGTAAGTTATTAGTTCAAATATATTTATTAATTTTTATGTAAAAATTTTACATATATTAGACATAAAAGTACAATAAAAATAAATTTATTTTATTTAAACTAAACATATGTAAAAATATATTAAATATAAAACCAAACATATGTAAAAATATATTAAATCTAAAATCTAAAAATCACACGAAAATAATATTGTGTTACTTTTATAACGTTAAACAAAAAAATAATTTTGAAAAGATAAGTATTAGTAAACAAGTTTTCTAAACAAAAAAAAACAGAGAACGAATATATACATCTAATAGACCACTGAACTTAATACTAAGTTACCAAAACATCTAATAATTTATATATACATTTTGTTTTGGATTAAGAATCAAATAGACCATTAAACTGAATACACGATAATATAATTAGATCACTGAACTTAAAAAAAAAATACAATTAAATCCCTAAACTAATCTATTTCATGCAATTTGTCCAATTATCACTTTTAATGAACTCAAAAAAAAATTGTAAAATATGACTAAAACTGCAATTGACCACAGATGCACATAACTCTTTCAAGCTATTAGCCATTTAGCCCTTAAAATAACATTAAGGTTCCCGAAAACGACATAACAACCTACAACACTACAAATAAAAAACAGACATGGATTGGATTCGCATCAGTTGCCCAACTTCTAACAACAACTTAACACAGAAGAACTAGAATGTAAAGATGAAGGCATGCACGCATGCAATTCATAGCATGCAGTCTGTCCTAGCCGGTAACCTTCTGAAGAAATTAAGGGGCACGGAGGGAAGCCTGTAGCGGAACCTCGGGTGTCTCAAGGTGTAGAATCCAATCAAAAGCACGACGACTTGGAGGGGCGTGACATAGAGGACAATGGCAGCCACGAGGCAGAAGAGCACGAACAGCGCTGTAGCTCTCGGGTCTCTCCAGCTGAGCAGAGACCGCAGCCTTTCCCCTTGAGTAGCTAAATCCCCGACCACGGTTTGAACCCGTCCCGCAATGCTTCTCAGGCGGTCATATCGCATCCTCACAACATCGGGAGGGCGGGAGGTGGGGAACGTATCGAACTCCTCATCGAGCTCGTCAGGATGGGCATTGTCAGCACACGAGAGCCTCGTGTCCATGTGGGGAGGATGCCTTGGCCTCCATCTGTAGTTCCACACTCCAATCAAGAACAGGTAGAGGAACACAGTAGGGAGGATGAGCTCTGGGTACAAGACTAGAATCAAGAACAATATGTGAATCAGAACAGTTGTAATCGGGTTTTTCCAGTTGCATATTTGATCGAACCATCTCCCGACAGAAATTAGCCCGCTTAAAACGCCCATAATCCTGAAAAAATTAGCCTTGCTCCTCCTCATACTCCACATGTGGGAACCAACATCCAGCATATACTCCACTACCTCTTTCCTTAAAGGCGGCTCAGCCCGACTCAACCTCGTCCATACGATCTGAGTGGCCTGGTGCCTCAAGCTGTCGAGCTGAATAACAGTTAAGGGATGGATATAATGCATTTTGGGCAGTAGGGGCTGTGAGTACATATGCATCATATTAAGCAAGGAAGAGCAAGAAAACCTAACAGCCAATTGAATTTCGCCCATCTTCTTTACCCCGGTGGGATGCAAAACCAGAAGCGGGTAAGAATGTGTGTAAACACGATCCGTCTCCAGGGTAGAAAGCCGAATCCTGACCTTCCCAATTCTCGAGTCCCTCGACCCACCAGATTTCTCTCCTCCCTGCAGATGACAGTTATCAAACACGCCAATAGTTATAACAGTACAAGGATCGAAAACCTCCCAAGTGTATTGTTCATTCCATTTTGGACCAAAACTGTCGATTATTGTCCTTGTTCGAACCCACTTCTGTCCATATTTCGCCACACAGTAAGCATCTGTTGTCGCCCGCCCATCTTTTGTCTTCATAGGCGAAAGCCCACCAGCACTAATAATACCCACTTCAAGAACACCGATATTGGGTTTCCATAACTGCTTTGCGGTTGGTCTAAGATCACTGCTATGATGTGTTGATTCATCCAGAACATGATACCCGCCTTCCAGGCATATTCTCATGTGAAGCCTGCTGGAAAATTTTATTTCCTTCTTTTCCCCCTCGACGATTATATGTTTCTCAAGATTATACCACCTGGAGTTGAGTGGCCTGTGATCCAACCTTCTGTCCACAAACTGTAAAGGAATAGCACACCTCCCCAGAACCTCGTCCTTGTTGGGTGCAACCCTGTCTTCCACACTCAAAATGAGAGGCTCCTCGAATGGTTCTGCAACGACAAACATTAGATCCTCGTTCCACATTGGATTGATAGATTTGTTCATGGAAACTCTGGACCTCAGAGCCTGATTTCCCAGAATTGCCTTAACAAAAACTTCTGGAAACCTGCTCTTATCGTTCGGGAGCAAGTCCTGAGCCTCGATTACATTAACTCTCAAGTACCAAAGCTTGGGCGAAAGGTATACCTTCGACCTTATATTTGCGAGGCCATCAGCCCCGCTAACAGCTGCTGCATCCGAATGCCATGCCTCGGGGAATGCCTCATCAGCCTGAGTACCCATCCAAACAGCCAACATCAGCTCCCCTCCTCCTCTAACCTTATCCCCCTTCCTGTCCTCCAGCCTATACCACTGCGGTGCCAGAGGACTATCGGGCGGAACCCTCTTTGGAACCTCATTCAGATCAAACAAAACCCGACCAACAAAATCATCCTTAACAAAATCCTTATCCTTCACAGACACCTCAAGCACAGATGCCTGAATCCTGTCCTTGGAGAAAGCAAACACCTGATTCCATTCAGGGTTGCTCCTCTTCTCAAAATGGCGGGTAGTTCCCTTGTAGTTTCCCAGCCTAATCTCCACATAAGGATCAAGACTCCCTGTAACATCCTTCCCTGGCAAATCCTTGGCTTTCACAACCCGGACATAGAGGTATTGCATCTGCTCAACAAGGTCATAGGTACTAGTAAGCTTATCACCTGAGACCTTCCCTCCACCCAGGTGGGGTTTGGTCTCCTTAAGAGTAAAATCTTCATGTTGTGGCCTCTGCATCTTCAGGTTATTATCTCTATCGCACTGATCAAACAAAAACAAAAAAATTAAGCCAAATGTTCAGTAATTAAACAACATTAGACCCAAGATCTTAGCCAGACAAAATTTTATAAGGTTTGGGAGAAAAGAAAAGAGGATAGCTTTATACAGTGATAACAAGAAAAATCACAAAAGCCTATCAAAACGTTAGATCTGAAGGCTCCAGACCTGTAACATCAATGAGGTAAGGAACCCACTAAAAAAAATACAGAATCCACACAGAACAGTGAACCAAAAAACAAAAACAACAAAGAACAAACTTGTAAGTTGTAACCCCATACTTAACAACACACTTCAATGGGTCTCTAGGAACAGAATGACAAAGAACATTGCTGTAGTAAATGGAGATTATACTTCGCTAAGCAAAATGCAGCTCATTAGAAACCCAGAGGGCTTCTTTTTTCTTTTTTTTTTTTAATAAAAGAAGTGAAAAGACCAGCTTAAAAATGTTGCTTTAGACGTAGGTAAACAGAAAATAATAAGAATGTCTTGTCCATAAATTTTTTAAAAAATAATAATAATAACAAGAAAGAGAGAGAGAGAGCCAGTATCAAATGCAGAATAAAAAAAAGTGGCAAAATCAAGAATGTCTGCTCTATATCAATGTTGTTTTTTTTTTTCAGAAACAGCTACAGATGGAAACAGATAGAGAAGCGGAAAGGGATGAATGTAAAAGAATATACCTTCAAGTGTTCATGGGAGCTGAAGAGGAGATAGTGGGTAGTGAAACTCTGAACAGAGACTAGAGAGAAAAAGCAAAGGGGGGTGGGTGTGGGTCTTTGATGCTTTTTGGAATCAGGCGAGAGGGAGAGAGAATATAAAAGGGTACGGTTTTGTAGAGAGAGAAAATGGCAGTGCGGCACAGCTCTCTCTCTCTCTCTCTGGCAGTGTGTGTCTTCTTGTGTCTCTTTTGCAGTGGTCGGTGAGGGCGCTGGATGCTGCTGCTGATGCCTAATGTCAATTTTGCGTCTCCCAATCCCCCATTTTCTTTTCTCTTTTTCTTTTTTATTTACGTTTCTTTTATTAATCTCTGCTGCTTGACCATGTGGACCCCTCTCCCGCTTTCTGGTCCCACTCTACTCTCGCCTATTACCTATATATTACACATTTACACGCCTCATATTTCTATAATAATACATTAATACACCGCGTTTATTTATAAATAATAAAACCGTTACAAATTATTAATCCACTCAATCTCAATTATTAATGATATAACTTCTATAAATATTTAATTAAAATATACTTTAGTATAGGGTAATCTCAGTTAAATTATTCAGATTCATTAATATGATAATTACAAAATTTAAAAGCAATTCCTTATTAGAGAGGTTTATTGACCTTCTTTGTTGAGATTGGTTTTATTAATTTGATTGTTTTTTAGTCCTATTAAGTAGTTGAAAATTTATAAACTATTAACTTTTAAAATAATTATTGTATTTTTTTTACATGACAATATCAGAAGATATTTTGTTTAGATATATTCAATTATGGAAAGAGTATAATATCATAGTTTGAGTACATTGAAGTACAAATCTAGTAAGTGGGAGACAGCACATCTCTGTATATTCATAATTCCAATAAGTGGAAAGCATCATGTGATGGCTCTAATCAGGTTCATGTTATATTACATTATATTACATTCTACACGAGATTAGGATTTGAAGTGCTTATTATCTATATCGGTCTTATTAAATTGTAACGGATTTGAAGTGTTTATTATCTATATCAGTCTTTTTTTGAAGGCTATCTATATCAGTCTTATTATATACTATAGAACTTAGGGAGATAATAAATTGTGTCTAAATAAATTATTATTGTGACTAATATTTATATTTCATCGGAACTTGAATTGAAAAGGCAATTTATGTGAGTTGATTGAATAGTTGATTTGGTACTTATAAATTTTTAAAATTAACTAGTATTTGCACCCGTGCGATGCACGGAATGGATGTTTTGTAATATATTAAGAATATATGAATGATATATAATTATTTAAATTAGAACATCAAATATTATATAGTGCAATTAAATATATGGTTTGGATCGTTTATATATTTTGATGTTATCATTGCTTGAATTTGTGCAAATAATTGCTCAAATTAATAGCTAATATCTAGATGTACGCATACAGTGCTATAACTTTGAAGATTTTATTTATCATTGTTTAGAATTTTCATAAATTATGAAAATGTGCCCGTTCTCTAACAACTCAGTTATAGAAATGAATTGGTATGCTTATTCATTTGTATGGAAGATATATTTTTTTATCTAGATATATAACAATTTATTCATTAAAAAAAAACTTAATATCACCGATTATATTTACACATTATTGAAACCTCTTTGTAGACGACATTGGTAGTGACAACACAATCCTATTCAATTCAATTAGTTATCCTTTTATACTTTCAATCAATTAGTGATATCGGATTCATTTTTAGCCAATTATTCTTTTTATTTTCAGTCAATTAACCAATTACTCCAATTAGAATATCAAATGTAGTGATATTTTTACCTAATTTTCGTTCCATTTTTAATTGATGATGTGGATATTATTATTGAAATATTTCTGTTTCATTTTTAATTTACCTTTACTATTGTTTAAAATATGCATTTACTATTAATAATGTATAATATTATTATTAAAATATTTTTCTCCAATTTTTAATTTTCATTCTATTTTTAATTAAAATGCAATGATCTGGTCATTTCTTTTCTTTTTTTAGTCAATTATGGAGCATTTTTTTATTTGCAGTCAATTATTAATATTCATTCCTAATAAAATTTTCAATCAATTAGTAATATTATATTCATTTTCAGTCAATTATTTTTTTATTTTCAGTCAATTAGAATATAGATGTATTGATATTTTTACCTAATTTTCGTTACATTTTAATTTGATGATGTAGAATATTATTAATGAAATATTTTCGTTCCATTTTAAATTTACATTTACTATTTTTAAAAATATGCATTCACTCCTTGATGTGAAATATTATTATTGAAATATTTTTTTTCTATTTTTAATATTCCTTTACTTCTGAACAAAAAGGAAACAAAAAAAAAAAAAAAAAAAAAAACTTTGGACTTCTCACTACTTGCCCACATTGATGGCAAGCAATTATGTTTGTAAACATTTTCAAGAGCTCCTTTTTCCAAACATTTTCAATTGAGATTAAAATGATCCCACATCATTCTTTATTTTTTTTTCTAATTTTAATTTTATTTTGTATATCGTTTTGTTTGGATGATGATGATGATGATGATGATGATGATGATGATTATTATTATTATTATTATTATTATTATTATTATTATTATTATTATTATTATTGACAATTTTAAAAAATTGAGATTGAAAAATTCACCAAAATTTTAACAAATTCATCATTTTAACAATTTATCTTTAATCAAAACACCAAAAATATTATTTAATAACTTAGTAATTTGCTCTAAACTGCTAAAAACTAAAATAATACATACATTTTGGGTTAATCTTTCCCAACCCACTAATAATAAATAATAAATAATGAATAAATAAATAAAAACTAAAATAAGAAGACAAAGCTATGGTTTCTTAAATAAGAACATTTTAACTTCTCAATACTTGCAACATTGATGGACAAACAATTATGTTTGTACCTCTTATATAGAGAAGCTCAAGAGCTTATCTTTTCAAACATTTTCAATGTGGGATCAAAATAATCCCATATCATTTACAAAGGGACGGGCTCCCCTTTGTTTTTTTTTTTTTTTTTTTGTTAATTTTAATTTTATTTTATATATAGTTTTATTTGGATTATTATTATTCTTATTATTATTGTTGTTGTTGTTGTTGTTGTAATTTGATTATTTGACAAATTCGACAAAATTTTAACAAATTCAAATGTTTAACATCTTATATTTAATCAAAACACCAAACATATTATTTAATAACTTAGCAATTTGCTCCAAACTGCTAAAAACTAAACCAATACATCTACATTTTGGGTTAATCTTTCCCAAACCCCCTAATAAATTTAAAAAAAAAAACTAAAATAAGAAGCCACTAAGATAATGTTTATTAAATAAGAGCTTTTTGACTCGTTGGGCTTCAATAGGTGAACAGATATTATATGTAACAGGTCAATCGAATAGTTATGTTATGGAACTGTGTCCACCTTGCAAGGTGGACACAATTCTATGTTAATAATTACTGAACTATATGTTCATAATTATAAAGCTATATATTCATAATCTTTGAACTTCATATTCATAATTATGAACTCTATATTCACAATTACAAAACTATATGTTCATATTTACTTAATTATATGTTCATAATTATAAAGCTATATATTCATAATTTTTTAACTTCATATTCACAATTATTGAATCTCTATATTCATAATTACATAACTATATGTTCATAATTATAGAACTACATATTCATAATTATGAACAATTTTAGAACCGTGTCTACCATGCAAGGTGGACACAGTTTCACATCATAATTTGTCGGGTCAATAGTACTCAAAAATAAAATATGAGCATTTGGACTTCTCAATACTTGCCCACATTGATGGTCAAACAATTATGTTTGTAAGAGGAGCAATGCTCCTCTTATATAGAGGAGCTCAAGAGCTCCTCTTTCCAAACATTTTCAATGTGGGATCAAAATGATCCAGCATTATTTACAAATGAAGCCCGTGGCTCCCTTTTGTCTTCTTCTTATTATTTTTAATTTTAAATTTAATTTTATTTTGTATATCGCTTTGTTTGGATTATTATTATTATTATTATTATTATTATTATTATTATTATTATTATTATTTGTAATTTGATTATTGATAAATTCGCCAAAATTATAATAAATTCGTTATTTTAACATTTTAACTTTAATCAAAACACCAAAATATATTATATAATAACACAATAATTTGCTCCAAACTGCTAAAAACTAATACAACACATACATTTTGGGTTAATCTTCCATAGCCCCAATTATGTTTATAAGAGTCTCATTGCTCCCCTTATATAGAGGAGCTCTCTCTTTTCAAACATTGTAAATGTGGGATCAAAATGATCCCACATCATTTACAAAGGGAGCCGGTGGCTCGCCTTTGTCTTTTTTTTTTTTTTTTGTTAATTTTAATTTTATTTTGTATATAGTTTTTTTTTTGGATTATTATTATTATTATTATTATTATTATTGTTGTTGTTGTTGTTGTTGTTGTTGTTGTTGTTGTAATTTGATTATTTGGAAAATTCGTCAAAATTTTAACAAATTCGTCTGTTTAACATTTTATATTTAATCAAAACACCAAAAAATATTATTTAATAACTTAGCAATTTGCTCCAAACTGCTAAAAACTAAAACAACCCATATACATTTTGGGTTAATCTTTCTCAAACCCCCCTAATAAATTAAAAAAAATTAAAAAAAACTAAAATAAGAAGCCATTAAGATAAGGTTTCTTAAATAAGAGCCTTTTGATACGTAGGGCTTCAATAAGTTGAGAAAGTTTACATGTTACAGGGTCAATCGAATAGTTATGTTTTGGAACCGTGTCCACCTTGCAAGGTGGACACAGTTCTATGTTTATAATTACTAAACTATATGTTCATTATTATAAAACTATATATTCATAATTTTTGAACTTCATATTCATAAGTACGTATTTAACTCTATATTTATAATTACAGAACTCTATGTTCGTAGTTACTGAACTATATGTTCATAATTATAAAGATATATATGCATAATTTTTAACTTCATATTCACAATTATTGAATCTCTATATTCATAATTACATAACTATATGTTCATAATTATGTTCACAACACTATGTTCATAATTATAGAACTATATGTTCATAATTTTTGAACTATATATTAATAATTATGAACAATTTTTGAAATGTGTCTACATTGCAAGGTGGACACATATCCACAACATAATTTGTCAGGTTAATA